TTTTTTTTTTTTTTTTTTTTTTTTTTTTTTTTTTTTTTTTGTTTTTTTTTTGTTTTTGTGTATAAGGAGGCATAAAAATTATCATCAGTTTATACGAACAAATGAAGAAATAGCAAAGTGTCTTCTGCTCGTGTCTTAGTACATCTCGAATGTTCGGAGTATAACGTTATATCGAATAAAGTTTTCCAATATTAAAGCGACTAGGAGAGCTGAATTATTCTATAGTGGAGTAATAATTTAAAAGCCTGAAAATGCGTTTTTAATAAGAAGGAAGATATAGAAATTACACTGCGAGCGCTAAGGAGCAGAAGACATTGATACTAAAGTATTTATAATGAGTTATTCCTTTAGATGTTAAGTAATATTTTGTCATTCAATTATATTGTACTAAACGAATTAATCTCCTGGCACTAGTGATGCTGTAAGTCGAATGAAACAATAAACATAAAAAAAAAGCATTTTATTTAATGGAACAACAAATCGAACTTTATTGCAATTGATCGTGTGACGATTATGCGTTTGCTTATTAGTAATAATAAAGAATTTGTAAGTCATGGAGATCGGAATTAAGTATATGACATTTCAAAATTCCATAGTGCCAGATGTATATTCGTTACGTGGCTATGTAAAAAGATCAAATCGTATACGAGCGAAACGCAATTACATTCGTTCAATGCATTAATCTAAGTTGTCATAGACGTAACATTCGCGTACTTATGAGGTCTTGCTACGTCTTCGCATGACGCTAGCGAATTTTGTCATCATTATTATTATTATCATTATTATTATTAGTATTAGTATTATTAGTATTATTATTACAGACACGGGTGAAAATTTGAGATGTTTTGTTTGGGATGTTAGTTGTTGATGTCGGAAAACAAACTCTTATCTAATAAAGTATTGAGAAATTTATAAGCTTAGAGAGAATACAATAATTTGATACAATAATTTTTTTGGCAAAGAAAAGTATTGACAATTGTAATATTAGCCCACATCTTGAAATTTCTCTACTTATTTTCAAATATGTTGGTATTTGATGAAAATGAGAATTTTCGTCAATTACCAAGAATAAATATATAAGATAAAATATAAAATAAGGCTATGCTTATAGTAAATTTCTAAATAACGAATAATTAATTCGAGTCAATAATAATGAAGGAAATTGAATGGAACTTGTTGTATTTTTCAATGTATTAATGAAATCCAATACTATGCATATGGAATGTATCAAAGACACCTTCAACAATGTCACTTGCAATAATTCGAAAATATGCAATTTAGTATTCTTATGTCGTTCTTTTATAGCTCTCGTGTAAATTTCTGATTTCAAATATAAAATTACGAGTAATAAATTTTGATAGATAAACAAAAATAGGGAGAAGATATTATAAAGAAAAATGTTTTTTAAAGCCATTTGACGTTATTATATATTAGAAAATCATTGACGAATCGTATATTATTTAAAAGAAATTTTTGCATTTTGTTAAATATGTTGCGTTTATTATTTTTCTCATGCAAAATGGCGTTTATCGTGAGGACTCTTATAATATTTGTAGTACTATTATTCTATCTAATAATATTGATATCATATAGTTAAACTATTAATAATATTAAATATATTTAAAACATCTATGTCAATTCTTTTATTTCGCACTTCAAATATATTGTATTTTAAAGTTCTTACAAAATCTAACATTATTTATTTCCTATCGTAGCGATCCCAAATGCAAAACTAAGCAATGTTCATGATATATATATATATATATATATATATGCAGTTTAATGAATAACATTAAATTAAAATAATTTACATTAGGATAAAAATTATTGTACTTATATAACAATCAAGTATCATAAAAAAGAAATATAAATATTATATTGTCAAATGTGGAATGCATAACACTTGTAGTTTCGATAGCGTTGATAACGTTCCGTGAAAGAATTTATAGACAATAAACTCAAATTTCGTATTTATAAATACGAAAAATTGCTTTTCCATTTGATTATAATTTACTCGTTATTAATTAGTAATAAAACATTTGTTATATTATATGTGTAATCTTTGAATATGTAGAAACATCTTTATTTTTACTATACGTATCTAAGATACAAATGACAAGAATGTCTATTAACTATAAAAATCTTCTTTAATTGTATAAAATATATTATCCAACGTGTGTCATTAATAATTAAATTAGCTCTAATAAGATTGACTATAAATTATGAAAAATGATTTCAATAACAGTTTGTCTGTGTTAATATTGTATTAATCGTTATAATACTACATTGTTAATTAACTTAATAAGGTCCTTAATATATCCTTACATAACAATCTTTAAATTCTATTCAGATTTATTAAACTTATAAATGTTACATATTTTTGTATCTTTCGTATGAAATTCTTAAGTCAATTTTATTATATACAATAATTGTAATATTGACATTATAATAAATATAAATTGTCTCGCGCTAGTTTTTAACATTTTTCTCGGTTTTAACATTGATCACGACATTCTTCAATTAAAACGCATTGTTCGGTAGTACTTGAAGCTCAGAAAGCTCAGAAGCTCAATTTTTGGAAATTTCGCTTATTATATATTAAGACTTTAAATACTATATGAAAATATAATAAATTTTAACAATAATAACTAATAGATATAATGTGACTAAAATTTAGTTTTATATCTTTCGATTATAATCAGTCAATTATTGATGCGCCCATCTTGGTAATTGTCCTCCAATTTATTTAGACAGGGCAGTTTCCAGAATTTTTGGTCCTTGCCGTAATCCTCGCCTTGTTGTAAGGTTTGTGGTAAATCGCGACCTCGGGTTTCAGGCAGAAACAGAACGAGGCTAGTACAGATAAAAGATACCACGCTAATAATGAGCATCGGCAAGTTCGTCCACCATTGTGCCTAAAATTCATAGAGGAGTGTTGCAGTTTTGGTTTAAATTTAGATTCTTTCTTATAAAGAAAATCGTATCGAATTCACAATGCCTATTTGGCTTGTCGATATAATTTATTACAATTTATTTCGTTTATGACTATTCGTACTTTAGAGTTTCTTAAGTTGATATTACGATATTCTCGATATTCTATCGTTAATAGAAAACTTTGGCTTCGCGATGAGATCGACAGTGCGAATGCAATACCATAACTTATACGATAGAGAGTCGATCAAACAGAACGAAAACCGTGGAAAATTAATTTATACCCCAATATCAAACTCGCTATTCATTCCCGCTTTAAAAGCTGAATTAGAAACTTATTAATTGACGTACCGAGCATGTAATTTTTTACACAAATTATGAAGAATCCAGCATATATGAAAGAAAAATCATTAAATTTCAATAAATATGATAACGTAATAAATAGATTTGTTTAGTGTTTATGCGTACAATAATTTGCACATTATTCTTACATTATTTAATTTTTCAATCCTATGAATAACTGTACAAATATCTTGCAACTATTTAAATGGAAATTTGAAACGTAATATAGCATTTTAATCAATTATTTCATGCATTATTATTAAATATATATGCATATATCAGAATTTTCATTATCTCTTGAAAAATTGGCATATTAGATAGAAATGAAGAGCATGTAATGCGAATTAATAATTTGTAATATTTTTGATACCCACGGATGGCTTTCACGTATCTGCTTTCTTTTTTCTACTATATAAATACGTGATAATCAATCGATAATATTAAATTACGGTAAATAGGCTTGGCAGCTAAACACAAACTCACGGTATCAACGATATACGGCGCCATACAATGCCCAAGGATTCCGAATACATGAATCATTCCAACGCCTTGAGCTCGCACTGGAGTTGGCAATAATTCTGCGGCATACTGTAATCCCACATTAGCTGCCATATTAAGAACGAATCGCGAAAACATTGACATGACCAATTTCGCTATTTCTGAAAATAATAATAATAATATGGATATGTTTAAGTTTTTAATTAAAGGGTTCGCGCGTAAATGGTGGCCTATGGTGGCTTTACGATTCAACAATCACTTGTCCAGTCTCACTAAGTCGATAGATACAACAGTACAATAAGCATAAAAATACTATAAACACTATAAATAATACAAATATTTTATTCTCCTTAAATCATAATTTTTATTATATAATTAATAAAATAATTTCAATATCTCTGCTGCTTATCGTGTTATTATTATCTTATTTATTATTTTTTTTTTTTTTTTTTTTTTTTTTTTTTTTTTTTACCAAATCTGTGCTTAAATGGACTAAAAACGAATATTAATTATTAATAATGCGGACATTTATTAGCTTATGGAGGCTATTTATTATGCGCAAATTAATGAAATTATAAACCCATAATTATTCGTTATTATTTGTTAAAATAAGCCTCACTTAAGTTTAAATATCATGAAATATCACGAAATATTCGAATAATGTTTTAAAATAATGTTGATACGAGACGAACTTTTCTCGATACACTCACAGGATTTTATAATCTGTAATCCTTGTACAATTTACGTAATATTCATGCAAATTCCATAGCCAACGCTATTATTTTCTTATGAAGAGCACAAGGAAATTTACATATTCTTATAATTATTATTCGTACTTTTCATTTTAATTTAAAGCAAAATTGTTTTTTCTCAAAAATTATCATTCAATTAAAAATCCTTATTACGTAAAATTTATAAATATATTTTTCCAAGTTAACGGGAAGAATATTCTTTAAAGTCAAAAATTTCGTATCCTAAATTATATATTAAAGCAAATTTGCAGATATAATAAAATTAACATTAATTTCAAATATTCTTCATGCTTTATACAATGATAAATCAAAAGTAGCGTAAAACTTAATTATAATGAAAGAATCAGGAACGATTACATAGATTAATATAACAATAAGTAAAAATTAGAATTAAGTTATGAAGGTGAAATATGCACTAATATGCAATTTACATAATGCATTTTTTTTTTCTTTTTTTTCTTTTTTTCTTTTTATTACAACACGTTAATGCTCACTTATAACGTATACAAATTTGTAAAATTAATGTAATTACCTGATTCGAGAAGAAGCTCGGTAATGGTAAATATTGTAGTCGAAGCCATTGTTATGAAACTGCAAAATCTTCGACCCCAGCGATTAAGTAGTAAAGTAAGCAAAAAACCTGCCGGAAATTCCGTCACGCAGGCCAATGAAAATGACACGAAGACTGAATTCTTCAGTAAATTCAATGAATATACATGACCATCGAATGCAATAACTGTCAGCATCCTAATTTATAATAAAATTATTAAATAGTTATAATACAAATAACAACCAATCCTCGGCATTTTCTAAGAATTCTCGTAGAAAGTCGACATTAACACATAGAGAATAAATTTTTAATGCTATTTAATTTAATTTATTATTATTATTATGTAATTATAAATTATCCAATTAGAAAACCATGCATTTAATTTATAAATACAAAATTTAAAACATATACATCAGTTGTGTAGCTATTAAAGATCAACGTAATATGAGAATCAACAAACTTTCTCAAACGTACAATGGAATTCTTTCTGTTTATTTATCTTATTATATTATAATCTAAAATTATTCAAATAATTACCATACTGCAGTTAAAATAATTGTTGTTTTTGCCAATCTTGGTGTTTTAAATAAATCGACTAATGTAGCTGATTTCGATATATTGTCAACCGAGTTAATATTTTTCTAAATAAAAAGACGATAAAATAAAGAATTAATCAAACATTCACCAATGTTTCAAAATATCCTAAAGTTTTGTATTTGACACACATATTTTAATGATTAATAATTAAATCTTTCACAACAACAACAACAAAAAGTCGTTCAATATCGTTGTAAGATTTGTGAAAAAAAATTTATACAAAATCGTATATTCTTGCAGCATATATCGAAAGAAAGTAAGCACTCTACTATCTCTACTATCTCCTGTCACAAGTATTTCAATCATACAAATGATGATATTCTTACATAAAAATTTTCATAAAAATGCACATCTGGCTCTACTCTATTGATACTGGCAATTCTCTTGAGTTTCCGAATGACGTTATGTGACATTTTATTCGATATGTACCATCTGAAAAATAAACATCGTTACTCAAAGATGGATAGCAGTCAATATGATTTCGTTTAGAATTTTGGTTATCATTGCACATAATATATACGTATACACATATATATATATATAATTTAACAATTTAAAACAACTTATTTAATAAATATCCTTCATTTTTTTTATATTCATTAGTAACTAGGGTATTTTAGTGTCTTTAATTTTTATGGCTTTACCGTAATTTTCAACAATTGTTAATAATAACAAATAGCTACGTCTATTAATATATTAAGTCTAATATTAATTGTACATGATAAGATTAAAATGATCTATAAAATCATTTTTACATTATCTAAAATATAATATAGTTTTTATATAAAATAGTTTTTTAAATCTTCATATAATTGTTTAATGATTATAAAAGTTAAAGATGATTATGCATACAAAATATTTTACATTTATAGAGTTTTCCATATAATATTAAGACAGTAATAGTTAAAAAATCATCATCATCATCAATCATTTTTTAGTAAATAGACTATTCACAGATTAATTAAATATTATATTATATTAATTAATAAAATTAATATAATATTTTACATAAATATTAGACACATTCATTTATTTCATCGAAAATATAAATATAATTAATTTAAATTCAGATTAATTTGAGAAGTCTATTCTAAGAATTTATGGATCATGTTGATTAAAGCCACTGTATATTTTTATCATAATTAAGATTCAAATTAATAGATTAAGATTTAAGATTTATGATCATTTCCGAAAATTAACGTAAAGCCTATATAATATAGTTAAATTAAAAAAAAATCCAATCTAATATAGGAAAAATAATTTTATGCTGATTTTTTTGAAATAATATAAAATCTTGTATATATTTTAGCCTTGGTGTTTTCTATTACAATAATTAGATTTGAACAATTATGCGTTAGTTGGATATCTTAAATTGATTTATTTATAATCTATAAAAGTGGCTTACTAAATATCATTGAGAAATGCTATATTTACATTCTAATCAGTCGACTTTCATTCTTACATTTAATAAAATACTGTGCAGAATACTCGTATGAAATGAATTAATTACTACAACTATTTAAATATTTTAACAATTAGTAGATGATTGAACTCTCGAATAAATAAAGTGATTGAATAGTATTAAATTTATTTATTAATATACGGGGTTCGCTACTTTTGCTATAAGGTAAAAATATATTGCCATAATATTATTGATTTTATCCTTTATCTATGAATATAACGAAGTTAAAATTAACTCGTAAATACTTTTATAATAATATATAAAACAGTTAAAATAAATAAACTTTAATTCTGCGGCCTATTAAAACTATATTGTGTTATATTAAAAGTAGATGCATATATTTACGAACTCTATTGAACAATGCAATCGACATTGCAAGTCGCGTAATTGTGTGCACTTGCCACTTTGACAAGTGGCTGACTCGAGGTTAAGCTCGTCTCACCTCGCACTCTCCGGGAGTATCCAGGGTGTAATGAAGCAGCTGAGGAGAGGCAGAGCGGACACGTAGCTGAAATAGCGCCAGTCGGCGATGTAGTAGGCAATCCAGGGTAGGACTGTGCTGCCAAGGGCGAAGTACATACCGAATGCTACGTTCACCACTAGGATGCGTTTCCTCACAGCCATGTACTCCATCACTGCGGGCAAAGTAGTTCCAATGAGCGATTTGACCGTCGTCTCGTGAACTCGTCTATTGTGCGAAAGTCGTCTCTTTGGTGGCATTAATTTGGCAATTCGAGGGCCCGCGTAAATTGTCCAATCGACGCGCTAGTGCTCGAGTATTCGATCGGCCAGGCGATGTTTATCGCCTTTGCCAGTTTTACGGACGATCCTTATCGGCGAGGCTCGAATTATTGGACTAAATTTTTAACCGACGTTAAATTACATAATAGCGAGCGAGTCCGTGACAAAGAAAAAAAAAAACTGTTTTAACATACATTTGTTCATGTCTAAGCTATGCATTTGTTACAAGGATTGACATTTTCGAAATTTACGCGCCGGCAATTTCTACGAGGAGCGACATGTCATCCGATCGATTTAGCAAGCAGTTTCCATATTAATTTACTTATTAACATATGGCAGCCACATGAATTACGGCATATAACGATTCGACATTATTCTCTCTGAATATATGCGACTTTAAAGCGATACTACTCGTTCTCTCGTGATAAATACATCCCACACACACAAGCGCGTTACGGCTAGTTTACACAAGACAAAAGAGTTATTACAGACTCTCTACAAGTATCCTAGATATTTCACTGCTAACGCGAGACATTGCAATGTTAAAATAGTTAATCCGAGCACGGATTAATAATCGTTATTTAGTGTAAGGTTGTATTATAATAGTGACGAGAGCGCCGGCGAGGTCGGTGAAAAAGCCGAGAGGAAAGTATTTGTGACTCGATTACTTCACAACCGTATAGCTCGGTTAAGCTCGGTTAAGATCGTTTACATAAGCTACAAACGAGCCGGGGCGGAGCGTTAATTGTCAACACTCGAATGAAATGCCTCTCGCTCCCATTCCCTGTAGAAGATTCGCTTGGCAATTTCAGCGCGCAATGGAGCAAACTCATTCGGAGCAAGAAAAGAAGCGGCAAACACGATGTACGAAAGCGAGGAATATCGTGGGCAAACGGAGCGCATTCCATCGACCATAATTCGCTTCGGGTTCCGTGCACTTGGTGCATCGTATGATTGCATAGTAACGGGACAGTTCAGCCCGTGTCTTTTGAAAGCGAGACGTCGGAGTCGTATGTCAGCGGTGGATTTTATAGGTCAGACATGTATCTAGTCGAGTAACGGATACAAATTTAATGGGGTCAACCTATGTGGACTAAGAAGAAAAAAAAAATGAGCAAGTAATTATTAGCCGAGCGGATGGATTACCGAGCTGAGAAACTCGTTTACTCGGTGCACTTTATCGTTCGATCTATTTGCACTTGGAATGAAAAAAGTGGTTAAAATAAAAATCGATTATACATATTTTATCATCAAACATTTATACTCGAGCATTTAACAGTGAACATTTTCTATTGGCAAAGATAATTATAGTGAGAGTATTGGAAATTATACTATTTTTCGAATATTCTTCATTTAATGGGCATTAATCATTTTAAGCAAAAAATAAATTCATTTAAAAAATGTGTATTAAGCTTATATAGTGGATTGCTAAAGCTAAGGTATCAGATTCAACATGCGGTTGGGTAGTTTTTTTTTTTTTTTTTTTTTTTTTTTTTTTTTTTTTTTTAGCAATTATGTACATTTATCAAATACTTTCCGATATTTCTCACAAATAATCTTTTCAACATTCATAAGCATCGTTTAATAAAGAAAAAATCATTTAATAACTCTGTGTCTAATAATGATATATATATATATATATATATATATATATATGAATGTTGAAAAAATCATTTAAATATGAAATATTAAAAAATATTTTATTTGATATATATGAAATTTTTAAACTTATGTCTACATTAAACTAAAATGTTTATGGCAATTATCTAGAACAAAATAAGAATTTTGAATTTTATAGAAACTATCGTTTTAAAACATTTGAACTTTACACAAACAAAATTCACATATGTAATAATTAATTAGACCTCTAATTTTCGACATTAGAAAAATTTTTTAACTTTCTTGCGAGGAAACGGGATTTATTATCTTACGAATTTACAAAATAATTCTTAAAGCTTATGCACTTTTAATCATTATAATAATAACATCGATACGATATAGCTAATTTATATTAATTCAAAGTCTTTCAAATTTATTTATCTTTGCAAATCCATTCCTAATGATTTAAAAGCTGTTTTAAAGCGCAAGTTCGAAGTAAAGTGAAATTGTTATTCACGTAGATAATAATTCTAGGTAAATGCGCCACTAGATTGACACGTTCGTACGTACGTACGCACGCACGCACGCACGCACGCACGCAAGCACGCACGCATATGTATTTATCTTTTAAATTTTAATTATTTCAAAAGCTCCGATTTAGAACATAAAACTTGATATTGTATGCAATGTTTCAATTAATAAAAATTTTATATATCCAAATATGCAAATTTTTATATACTGAATTTTTAATAGACATAATTGTCGTATATTTTTATTATACTTATTCTGCGATAGCAGCAAGTTATTTTTGATCTTATTTGCTCGGTTTACTCCTTCAATGGTTAAGTAGTATTATATATAAAACGTACATGTTGCTACTAAAATATTGAAAATATTTTCAAATATTATACTAATGCTTAATGGGAAGAAAACTCGTAAAGGACCGTTGATTCTCTGTGTAAGAGTTTGAATAATTTACTGAACGTATAAGAATGATTAAAATTTAACTGTGTGCGCACACATAAACAATCAAATATTGCATTTTGACTTTTTATAACCTTATAAGATCATAAAAATTTTATATAAAATCTCGTAAAATTTTTCAACATTTACGAATTACGTGCTTAATACATTTATTTAATAAAACTTTACTTTAAGAATGCAATTTTCTAAAACGATTATAATACACCGCAAATTCATTTACGAGTATGATAAAACAAAACTTCACGAAAATCATATTATTTTATCTCTTTTTATATCTAAAGATCAGAAACTAAAATATATTCTAAAGATGAAGTAAAGTTCTCAAGTGATCGTGTCATCAATAACTTGTTGATAATGAATGTTTCATACGCAAATTTTTTTTTTTCCCAAATTTTTCTTAAAAACATCAAGCTCGATGTACTTATCTCATTTGCTCGATAATGACGGGTAATTAATCGTGCCAGTCAATTAATTTTAGAAATATAATAGAATATGTAATAGATGCAGTTAAGAGTTAGGGCTTATGTTCCTTCGTTGAGGATTTTTCAAAAAACAATGTAGAGATGTTGCCACGCGTACCGGTAATTAATCGACTCTCGATATACCGTTTTGCCGTGAAAAATTCGGGCGAAAAAACGATTGCCAAGTGTTAGGAGGATGAAGCAAGGCATTTAATGAAGTTCGAATGAGGTCGGATAAAAGGATGTTTTGAGGCATTGGTGGGAGTTAGAGAACTCGGTATAATCGACGATAATTACGAGCCAATATGTCACGACGGAATCGGTACGGCGATCGCGGCCAGCGACCGTTGCAGGAATGGAAGATTAATGGTTAGCAAATTGACGGTAATACTGGCGTTACGTGCGACGTATCTCTTCGATTAATACACGTATTAATGATTATTTCAAGCAGCGATTTATACTGGCAATTTGAATATGATTCGCGTCCTAATGTTCGAGATTCTCCAAAAGCTCGCCGTATCGCGAGAATAAGCCTTCGACCGCTTTCATAACGATCGCTGTACCCACCCCATCCCGACCTTATTCAGTTGTTTATTTGGGATGAAATTAATTCAACCGCGTGTAGCTGCTGATTATAATCTTAGAGTGTGGCGAATATGCAATATTGACAGTGTATCGTTTGCATTGATGATTATTATTATTAATAAAGCTTTGGTTATCGAATAGCTGAAATATCATGGAATAATCAAGAGATCAAGAGAAAAATTTGGCGAGTACTCTTACTATCTCTTTATATTAATCTACACGTTTTATTAGTAAACATTGGTAAATTATAAATATGATATTCAATTGGATAATTTGTATTTACGCACGATTTAATATAATAGCATGACAAGAAATCTCAACTTCATTCGTCCAAGCTTCCAATACTTATTTGTAATTGTTGCAATCTTCGACTGCAGTGGAAAGCTTTATTCGTAAAAGCTTGACTGGCTACATTTTATATATCCGAGGGCAACTCCCTTCTTGTTAACATTAAGCCCTTTATCTCCTTCGGAAAATAATTGACTATTTCATTTGAATAATAGTAGTGACAATACGTGCACGTATGTGTGAAGTGACAATCGATTAAATATAAGTTGAAAGACCTTTCAACGTAATGGATTATAGCGTTCTGCTATTAAAGTTAAAGTTGCTATTGATAAATAAAACTTACAAACTTTGGCAAGCTGATTTTATCGATACAATCGTCCAAAAATCATATAATTAAATAAAGCATATGTACGAATTGTTTTTACCAAATGCATAAAGAAACGCTGATCAATTGTATTTCTATTTTTAACTGACATGCTGAAGTCCAATTGGACAAATATTCGTTTGAAATTAGCCGTTTCTATAGTATAGCGATTATATTGATTAGACATTTCATGAAATTGTTGACATAATGACGTAAAGAATTCGCAAACAGTGCGTAAAGTAAAAAAAAATTCGTAAAGAAAAAAAAGGGCGGGGGAGGGGATTGGTAGGGGTAGGGGGAGGGGAAAGAAAAAAGAAAAGAAAGAAAGAAACGAAAATGTATGTTCGTCGTGAGAGTAAGAAACTTCAGAATATTTCAGATAATATTTCCATTGATTATCAAGAGATAAAAGAATGTGAATGAGTATAGATTATCTTAATACCCTTATAATTATTTTTTTTTTTTTTTTTTTTTTTTTTTTTTAAATAAAATTTACGATCTAATGGCAAGTAGCTGTGTATCCATCTACCGCCGTCATATGGCTAATAAAAAATGTAAATAATTTTAAAATTCGATTCAAGAGAAAAGTAAGAATGATCCAGTGCACGGAAGTGTGTTTCGTTTTTGTTTTTTTTTTTTTTTTTTGTAATGACGCGTAAGAAGAGTTAGGTTAAGATAATAACGGGGTAAAAAGTGATAATAATAATGAGAAAAAGAGATTAAAAGTAGAAGAGAAACCAATGATCTTTGCTAAATTAAAGTCTAATAAAAATATTCCGATATAAACTATTCGGGGGCTGTGTACAGGGCTATAGTGACGTAGTAAATATCTCGGGAACATTAAGCTTCGCGAAGAATGGCACCCCCGACATTTTCAAATTGGTATTTTGCACGCTGAGCGCAAAGTTAGAGTAAGATTAGAATAGAATTCCATTTCCCGTATCTTCGGCTGTCAATTAAGCAGGCTCTCGTAGGGAACAATGAGCAGATCCAAGGACGTTAACGAGCTCGCAGTTGGCTTCCTCTAGGCAAAGCCAATGAATCGAAGCATTGGCTTCCGAGGAATTAGGGGAAAAGAAAGAAAAGAGAGAAAACGACGAAGAAGGAAGTGGATGAGTGAGCGACAGATATAGAGATAGATAGATAGAGAGAAGAGAAAAAACGAGGAGACGCCGACGGTGCAGCCGCCTCGGGGCTGAAAGGGTTTGCTTTGATGTAGGTAGATAAGTAAGGGCGGCCCATTGCGCATTGATTACCAATTATAAGGGGTATGTTGATGATGTTGTCGAAGGCGAGGCCGGCAAAGAAGCGGCAAAGGGCGAAGAACCAGAAGCTCGTGGCCGAGGCCGTGGCGACTGAGGCAAGGAAGCTGCAGCCACTGCAAAGGACGAGGGCTGGCAAGCGGCCCCGATGATCCGCGATCCAGCCGAAGAGGAAGCCCCCGGTTATCGAGCCGCAGTAGAAGATCGCCTGGGCCGTCGAGATGAGGTAGCCGCGTTCGCATACCCAATCTAGCTGATCGCCAACAACAAAAAAAAAAAAAAAAAACTTCAATTTAGATCGATGTCGAGCACTGGCACTCCCCTCGTCACGAGATCACTATCTTACGACGAGGGGCAAATTCCATTTCAACTCGACATTGTTCGTTTGAATAGTAATCACGGCTAGCCACTCGAGCGTGCTAATCGTCAATTTAAGGCCTTTCCCGGCCCATCCTCCCATCCTCTTTCTCTTTCTTTCATACCAAAGTTATTTGATTTATTTACTATAGTGATGCACCGATTATTGCATTCTCATCTTATTGAATTTATTTACTTTAATCTCTCTTCTCTCTTTTCTCGGCTTTTCAGGGCATTTTCCCCGGTAGTTATGAAACACCACGGGCATTCATCATAGTTCAGCCACACACATTGTTCGCCTTACGTATGATCATAATACAAGTCATTTGCATTTGTTTAATCGCTAATTAGCAAGCTGTTTATAACAGGCTCCGAGGGCGTTGTGTTTTGTAAACGATTGTAAACTTATTGTCAAATTGTTAAAATTATTGTCGCGATGTATTATCGTCGCTATTAATCGACAAGAATAATTTGAACATTTGCATTAAAAATTCTCGAGTCACGAGGCACAATTGAGATAAGATAATCGCAGGTAGTGCAATCGATAATCGATTATTAGCCAACGGATAAATAGTCGCGGTCGACGAAAGAGCACGAGGATAAGGGAGAAAATGCATTGAGAGGGCGTTTTGATTGGTTCGATCGCGCAGAACCGCGAGTATCGTTTAACCACGTAGTCGATTTTGTCGATTGTGCACCTACCGCGCTTCATCGGCAGAAATCCGTGACGTCGTGCAAAAAAACAAAAAAACAAAAAACAAAAAAAAAAAACAAAAAAAAAACGACTAAATGGTGGGATTGGTTAGGGGATGGGGGATAGAGAGAGAGAGAGAGAGAGAGAGAGAGGAAGAGGGAGAGAGAGAGAGAGAGAGAGAGAGAGAGAGAGAGAGAGAGAGAGAGAGAGAGAGAGAGAGAGAGAGAGAGAGAGAGAGAGAGAGAGAGAGAGAGAGAGAGAGAGAGAGAGAGAGAGAGAGAGAGAGAGTGAGAGAGAGAGAGAGAGGATGCGATAGCTCGCATCGAGCGCATTAGCACGTCACCTCGACGCCGATGCTCTTGTAGGGTATCTGGGTGAAATTGTACTCCCAACGTTCGCAGCCGATGGTGCGATTAGTCGTCCAGACGCCGACGTCCCCGAGTCCATCGTTGTCGAGTAGGGCGCTGTAGTTGAGATCCTTTCGGTGACACGTGTCGTAAAAGGGGTACTTGCCGCTCTCGGGTATGGCCACCCGGACTCTGTGCAGGCAAAAATATCTGTCCGTCAATTTAGCCGGGACGGCCCAACGATCGCGCGCCCAACGGAAATATTAATGCGCCTGCACGCCCCTTTGTCCTGGGTCTCTTCCCCCCCCCCCTCCATACCACCCCACCGCCGTCGCATAATTTCGGAGTGTCGAACAATGGCGCGCGCCTCGTTATCGAATTTTCTTCTTCCAATGCAATGACCATTACCGCCCGCGCCCGATTACATTATGCCGCTCTAATAAAACTTTGCTAATACTCGCGACATTCGATAATCGAGCGGACCCCACTTCGTCGCGATCGTCCATCCCCAGACTCTCGATAAAGCGAATGCCAAGCTTTGCTGAGCCATAGCGGTAATTGGGTAAAAGTTTGCAGCGTCTTCTTTATCAGTCCCACTTGCTCTTACCAGCGAACGCGAAAAGCTCGGATTTTTACGATTTATCATATGATTATATTAATCTCCGTTGATTCATATCGAGCAGCGAGAATTAGCTAGGATTTGCAGCATCTTCGCCCATTACGTATGAATTGTGTTTATTAATTAAATTTACGAGTGGCCATTATTTGGAATAAATGACAGGCGCACGGAGGCTCCTTTAGGCTAAAGTACAAATGTTAATACTCTAATGACATTGGATCGTAGCATCAATCCCTCTCGCCTCAGTTCAAAGAAAATTAAGGACTAACTTGAATTTGCAAATTTAACTTCTATTCGAACGATATTAAAACGCTTCACTCTTATTTAACACTTCACGATAATATGCATATAACTATAAATTATCCGCCGTTGGGATAGAAAGTCGCATTATTGACGTAAGAAAATTTACTAATCATTGAATTATTATTATTTTAAGGCTGAATAACATGTAATAATAAGCAACGAGCGCGTTAAACTCAAATTTGTGTTGTAGTCATTTTTATTTGATTTTTTCATTGTTCCCCCCCTCTCCCCCACCCCCTCTTCCCGCCCCTCCCCCCACCCCTCACCCCACCCCTCACCCCACCCCAAAAATAATATTTTTACATGGTATTTAACGAGTAGTGGCGCAAGCTTTATTAAAAACAATCACGGCTAATCGTGATAACATTGTGATAATTACTTAATTCATATTGTTTGGGCTATTATTGATGATTATAATAATTGAATTCGCACCGAATATCATTAGCATTCGTTGCGCGCACCCAGTATTTATCTATTTAATTTCTAAGCTCCATTTGCTCCTTTCACTGCTGCCTCATAAACCCACTGGTACAGACGTTATAAGCTATATGCTGTTTTATCTAGCAATTGCACATCCCCACGGCTACCGAGAAATATGACGAAATATGCAAATGACTTTTAATGCGTTTTATTGCTACTGTGCCACCAATGGGACAATAAATGTCTGAAAGCAGCGCGGACATAAAATTTTTTTCAACTATCGAAAAATCTCCGCGCGCCGCCGCCGCCGCCCCCCCCCCTTCCACCCTCCCACCCTCCACGCCCCACCAACCCATTATATCTTACAGTCTAAACTGGTGATTCGTTAAACGGGACGAAGAGGGCAAAAGATTGTATCGAGCAGCGGAAGTAACGTGATTTTGACAACTATTTAGCAAAGGATGCCCAGTCACCTCTGCTCAGCCGTTAAGTCGTCCATGAGCTCGTCGACCTTGCACCAGTGCTCACGAGGTACGAGGGTCAGGAAGAACTGGGAGAAATAGAGCGTAGCGTAGGCGATGCTGTATGGCAGGAGAGCAAAGAGCAGGTACAACTGGTACCTGCCAAAGTCCCCGACGCAGGGCAGCGCGTCATCGAACGAGAGGAGCTTCGTCCTCAGGACAGTCCTTTCCGTGGTGTTCTCGCACTCAATTTCCGCCCGTTCACCGTCACTCTCCCTCACCCCCTCGCCATTCTCCACCATCCGCTGCATCGCCATCTCCTCCGCCTCCTTCTCCTCCTTCTCCTCCTTCTCCATCTCACCACCCTGCAATCCCATCATCAGGCTTCATTAGTGAGTGAAAATTTAGCCAATTTCGCGGTATTGTGTGGATGAGGAAGCTTTATCCTTAGCACGACATAAATGCCATTGATCCTCGTGACTAATTTAATAAGGTTTCATTGCAATAGTAAAGAATCTGCACGCGATTATAAATCTAACAAACAGAAGCTGTGGAGAGTAATTTATGTAAGAAAATCCATCAGGATTTGAAAATATATAATTATTTTTTCTCCTGCTAAGGCATTTAACGAGCATGATTTTAGCAACATAATACCCGTACGATATTTTACGCCAAAACCATAATTAATAACGAAAATTATATTCTCATTTAAAAGTAATTGGCTTTGATTTTGTAAAATAAAATATTCGATATCAGCTATGGGAGAAATGCCGACATTCGGCAATATTAAACGTAAAATTCGCTTGCTCGAACAGTAAAGCAAACTCTAAGCAACGTATAAATAACAATATGGATTTCTTAAAATCCATAATTTGCAGTTAATTTCCATCGTATATAATGAAATTCAGAATTAATAGTATATTATTGAACTCAACAATTTATCGATAATATATGTTAATCGTATATAATGTGTTCAATCATGAATAATAGATGGTAACGATGCATTGATCAGGTGATTGTGTTTAAATGATTTGTATTTATTGAAAATCTTTCAAAAATATTGATGGATTATAGACACATCGAACAGTTTTGTTCATAGATAAAAGATTATTAATTGTGATAAAAAGAAAAATAAATAAAAAAAAAAAAAAAAGAAAAAAAAGAAAAAAATACCACGACAATCATCAAACTTATCGGTAAAGAAAAAAAGATTAATGGTCATTGGTCTAATTCTGCTTGATTTCCCCTACGGACATTTACATTATTTTAGTTTTCAATCTCGTAATAATAATGCATGAATGTATAGTAAATTTTTTTTTATGTATGCACAATCACTTTTTACTTAACAATAAAATATTTTAAATATTTGATAGAAATCATGAGAAAAGTTGAGAAACTAAAAGATATCGTTATTTAAAGCAATCAATAATTACAAAATATTAATTATATATAATAAAGTGCAATATATTTTTTATATAATAACGTCTATTATTAAGAAATTTTGTATAATAAATGTAATTAACGTAAAATTTCCATTTTGTAATTAATTTATCTTCAATGTTAATAATAAAGTTCAAATATAATTATTATGAATTGTTAGGAAGAGCATTTTGTAAAATCTCTAGTGAATTTCAGTTTGTGGCTAAGCAAAATACTTTCAATATATCGCTGTACTACAATCTATGTGAATATATTTGTATAAATCCTTTAATATAGAATAGATTTATATAGAATATTCCCGCCTGTAAATTAAATTTAAGCAAAAAGTCCAAATTTAATTGTATGATTAAAATATTGCATTGTTCAATGAATGTATGTATTGAACATAATAGAAAAATACATTAAATAATCGCATAATTTATTAATTAAAAGTACTTATTACCTCAGCATTATTCCGTAGAGCTATTTCTTGATATTCGTGCATCCTTCATTATAATTAATCTTAATTATAGTTTTTCTTTTTTTTTTTTAAGTTAATACGTCATGAAATTTCTTGAATAATTTATATCGACTAATAAAACTATAATGAATTTATATGAAAAATTCCGAATCATTTAACTAATTATCGTTTATTTAATTCATTGAACTCCGTATTTATGATTTGGTTCACTAATAAAATCAAAATATTTTTTTAACATAAATGTTTGGAAGATCGTTTTTCAAGAACAGAGAAAAAAAGGATTTATTAGTTGGACGGAAGAGTGTATGTCAAGCACAAGTAAGCCTTCTGCAAATGACTGTTGGAAATTTTTCTGTATGCTGAGGCTCAGTTCTAGATATACTTGTACATATGTATATGTTTGACTTTATTGATGAAGGAGCGAGCAATTAACTGTGTAATGCTCAATTGATATTATTAACCTACTCTTGTGTAATTAATATTTTATTAATAAAACAGCATTCAACCAAATATTTTTATACATTATCGAATAAATTAGAATGCATAAAGGATTTTTTTTTTGTTTTTTGTTTCTTTGTTTATATATATATATATATATATATATATATATATATATATATCAGAGGATTCAAGTGACTTACATTATGTATTTAGTGTGAAGCCATTTTTAAACTAAACATTTTCAATTGGAAGTAGTAATAATTTTATTTGTAAAATGCCTGCAAACTGATAGAGACTAAAAAAATGATTGATATTCAATTCAATTTTATGATATCGAACTAAAATTGGAATGGTGATAGTGGAAAAGATTAAAATTAGAGTAAAATAGTTTACTAATTTAGATTTCTAGACCGATATCTACTTTTATTATACAAAATATATAAAATATTTAAAGATAAAGCTGGAAATATTAAATTAAAAACATTGAAATAAGAATAAGCAAAGATAATACTATTTTTATAATAAAAATTTAAATGGTAATTACAATACAGCAATTTATTTTTCAGGCATATTAAAAATGAAAGTAAGTTGTAATTTCATACTTTTAGATAAATTTAATCATATCAGTCGAATAAAAGCTAATTAAATGAATTAATTTTTCAAAAAATCAATTATTGCAAAGATGGCCTACCTACACAATATATGATAAGCGCGAAGATTGAGAAAATGAACATATCAAATTTAATGATTTAATCAAATTTTTATATTTAATTCCTATGGATTTTACTCGTCTTTAAAATCTTTCTCTAAACAATGCAATTGCAGAATGCAATTGTTAATTAAGCGTTACTCTACGTTAAATTAATTCTTGATGTTACAATTACACTCTAATATATATAAAAAGAAGAAAAAAAAATAATAAAGTAAATTAAAATGTTTTGCTTATTGATCAATAAGCGAAACCCATAAATAAAAAAAAAAAAAAAACTATTAAAATATCAAAAATTTAAATGAATATGCACACAAAGTAAAATAATTGTTTTTACGAGTTCAATTTGTTTGTTTTTTGTTCTTTTAAGATAAACAATTCATATATAATTCTTATTTAAGGCTATTTATTCTTATTAATTTGTATTAGATTTAACTAATATAAGAATGTCAATGAAATTATTCTCAAATTATGTTCAAATTAATTAATGAAAGAATTTTTTCTTCAAAACTTAACAAGATTCACATAATCTTATGACACAATCGTTTTGTCTTTTCTCCCTCATTTCTTCATAAAGCTTTTACGAAACATACGTCAGCTTATTCATCTGAGTTGTAGTATTTATTTTCATTGAAATTGGTAAGAAGTGATAAGCTATAAGTGAGGCAATGATAAATTTAAATTGACGTCGGAATTACATACTTATATATTATACATCAATATGCTTGATATAATTCATATAATTAAGTTTTTATATCATTGCAGTAAAATATAAAAATTAATTTTCCAGAGTTTTTTTTTTTTTTTTTTTATTAATTTTTCATTATTATTATAAGATATTAAATCAAATCAATATTCAGCATTTATTATTATCATTATTATTTGTTTTTTTTTTTAATGATATGATAAATTATTGTTTAATATAAAACACAGCGTAGTTATTAATTGCAGATTTAGACTGAGATTGATTATACATAAAAGGTATACGTTTAAATAATTATACTTCAATGACGACGTAACACGTAATAAATGTTTATATTTCAATCATTTACGTAATTGTTATATCGTACTATGTAATATCGTTATTAATTCCGATTTTCATTAATTTTGTAAAAAAAAAAAAAAAAAAAAAAAAAAAGAAAAAAATTTGCCGATACATGTATATTTGGACATAAAAATAGAATTTTCAATTACCTTTTTAAATATTACAATGTCTTGTGTATTGTCTTTCTTTTTCTTATTTTTAGAGAAATAATATCTTTAATAATTCTAAATTTTAAATTAATTAATAAATTATGCCTAATAAATAAGTATTATGATAATTAGGCAGAAATAATACTTTACAGACCATAATGCTGTGGACATATGTACAATCACGTTTACACGAATTCTATCTCATTTGGGTTCAATAATGAAAAAGTTCGGCTAAAAAATTGCGTACTAAATAAGTTTTAAGAACAGTCAGTGATGGCATAGAATGGGGAACGGTAATCGATGAGATAGAAAAAAACGTCGTACATGAAATCGGAATTAGCGAATGCTAAGCGAATGCTAAGCGAATGTCCGAGCAGCGACAATTAAAGGAGACAAATGGAGACAAAAGGATTATCAAGCATCCGTAATTAAAGTGAATAACGAAATGATTATTTTCACGAAAGATCGTGATAAACGAAAGGTAAAAAGGAGCGGATCAATGTTACGAATGTCCCATACGAATGAACGTCCATGAGTGTAAACATACTTATTAACTTAATCGAACGACTTTGATGAACGGGTTGGGATTTAAAGAAACCGCAAAAACATTCCAATTAATTAAAAGCATTTCCTATTATTAAAAGCAAATGTATTATCCATAAAATTAGGTATCGAAAAGAATATCGAGATGATATAGTTAAATAATTTTGTTAAAAATTATATGTCAATGTATAAAATTGATATTTACGGTCTAACGATTAAAGTTTCGATAGGACATAAAATATATGAAAGTCGTAAACACAAGTGTCATCCTTATTATTATTAAGCCCCATTAAAGATAAAACTTGTGATTTACAATGGTAGACAAAGAAGTAGGAAGAATTTGTAGGTACACATAGTACTTTTAATTTCGATGTAATGAAGTGCGCGGAACAACGATAATGGCAAAGAGTAAAAAAAAAATTTCAGCCTCGTGAAAAACAAGTTGCCTTCGCCTTATAATTCATTTAAACTTTTACGTTCAATGCGCTAACAAAATACCCAACCAAGCATATCCTACGGAGGAATTTGCAGTTCAATTGGCGATGTCGATG